GATAATGAGTATTCAGAGACGGGTAATACCTGGAGGGCACTCACCAACCTAAGACAGAGCACCTGTGTGGCCTGGGCAGGCGTCTCCATGACGGGTAAGGTGACCTGCTGACATCCCACGGAACCCAAGTCAGAAGCTCATTTTTTTAATAAAAGGAGGACCTGCAGGGCCCTGGCCCCTGTTTTGGGTTGCCTTTCTTGTAGACCTTGACCTTGATATCCTCCCAATGCTAATTCCCTGCCAGGTTCCACCCTCCTGAATGCCTAAGGGAAGTTCCTTGTCTGTGTATCCTGAATAATGGGCATTAACAGCTTAGATGCAAGATTGTAAAACATCAGTAGCGAACTTCTGCCCTCCGGGGTCCTCCCATTGTGCTGTAAGCCTGTAATTAAGACCTCCTACCCCCTTCAAGAAATGACATTCAACATTTAAAATTAAATATATATATTTGAATGAATACTGCGAATGTAATCTATGAATACCACAAATGTGATTAATATCATGAGTGTAATTTAAAAAAAAAAAGCCAAAGGTGTTGGTGTTGCCTTTAACAAGTACTGTAGATTCTGGATTCAGTACTCTACATACAGAGACTCAGCACTCGATTTTCACACAGTAATGAATGAAGACCTCATCCCCACAGCCATACTCACAAGGATACGGTGAACAGGGCATGTGTATGTGTACATACACCTTTGTGTGAGGGTCTGGGAGGGTACATGGATGGGGTGGGGTAAAGAAAGAAACTAACAACTCATAAGCAATTTAGAATTCAGGCTGGAGAGAAGGCTCAGTGGTTACCAGCATTAGCTGCTCTTCCAGAGGATGAGGGTTCAATTACGAGCATCCACATGACAGCTTACAATTGCCTATAACTCCAGTTCCAAGGGATTCAACACCCTTGGTCTGATATTCAGACTTCAGACATGTACAAACAGACATGAAGACAAAACACCCATACAAATAAAATGAAAATCTAAAAAAAAAAAAAAAAAATGCAACTTGGAGTGGTGGTGCACATCTTTAATCTGAGTACTCTGGAGGAAGGGAAGAAGAGAGAGCCCTATGTGTTCAAGGCCAACCTAGTCTACATAGTGAGTTCCAGGCCAGCCAAGGCAACCTAGTGAGATAACTGTCTCAAAAACACAACACAAAAACAAACAAAAAGCAAACAAAAAAAAAGGAGAAAATACAGAACTCATAGTCTGTCAGTAATGGTTCTTCACAAGGAAAGGCCTGTATAGTGTGTGTGTGTGTGTGTGTGTGTGTGTGTGTGTGTGTGTGTGTGTGTGTGTTTTATGCAGCGCATGCATGTATATGGTTGTGTGTACATGTGTGTGCATGCGTGTGTGGAGGCCAGAGGTCGATGTCAGGTCCCTTCCTTTGCTGCTCTCCACTTTATTTTTTGAGATAGACTCTCATCAAACATGAGCTTGCCACATCGGCTAGACTGCTCAGCAACAAGCCCCAGGGACCCCTGTCTCCACACCGTTGGTGCTGGAGATCCAGATGTGCACTGCCACATCTTGGGTTTACCTGGATGCTGGGGATCCGAACTCAGATCCTCACGCTTGTGCGGCAAGCTCTTTAGCCACTGGCCTGTGGTTTTTAGGCAGGTATTTCATATGGTATTAAACCATGTCATTCAGTGTCTTAGTTTGCTTCCTCTTACTTTCATAAAGACCACGGCAGAAAGCAACTAGGGAAGAAAGGGTTGATCTGGCTTACAGTTCATAGCCCACTGTGCAGGAAAGTCGGGGCAGAAACTCAAGGTAGGAACCTGCAGGAAGGAACTGGAGTACAGTCCATGGAGGGTCTCTGTTTACTCTCTTGCTCAGCCTCCTTTCTAATACAACCCAGACCCACCTCCTCAAGGGTGGCACTGCCCACAGTGGACTGGGCCCTCCCACATCAGTAACTAATCAAGAAAACGTCCCCACAGAATTGCCTACAGGCCAATCTGATGGAGGCATTGCTTCAGTTGAAGATCTGAGTTTCCAGAGGACTCTGGCCTGTGTCAATTTGACAAGAAACACTCCAAGTGCTGCCCATTACCTCACCTGTGAGCTTATTACAAAGGGTCATGTGAAGCCCCACTCCTGCTGATCTGGAATGTACAGCTTAAAAAGATCCCCACAATACCCATACTCTCTTTAAAATTGGAGAGAATCCACTAGGGATTTTAAGGTGTCTGTGTAGCAAATGTACTTTTCTTCTTCTTTCAAAGTTGGAAGTTTTTATCTACTAGATAACTTCACCAGTTAACACCTCCCAGAGAAGAAGACAGACATACACTATAAAACTCCATTTATTAAAATTTGTTTCCTTGGGCTGGAGAGATGGCTCAGAGGTTAAGAGCACTGACTGCTCTTTCAGAGGTCCTGAGTTCAATTCCCAGCACCCATATGGTGGTTCACAACCATCTGTAATGGGATCTGGTGCCCTCTTCTGGCCTGCAGGGATGCGTGCAGGCAGAACATTGTATACATAATAAATAAATAAATCTTAAAAAAAAATGTGTTTCCTTTATGCATATGTGTGTCTGTGCATGAGGGTGTGCATGGCCGTGTGGCTGTGCCTGTCTGTGTGCAGGCAAGCGGGGTCATAGGATACTCTTAGAGCTATCCCAGGAGCACTTTCTTTGAGGTCACCAACTAAACCAGACTGTCTGGCCAGCAGGCCCCAGGAATCCTCTTGTGTTCCCCAGGCTGGGAAAACAGGAATGAGCTACCAGGTGTTTTTATGTGGGTTCTAGGGATGAGACTCAAGCCTTTAGGTTTGTAGGACAGGAGTTTTACGAACTGATTGAGCTCTCCGGGGCTAAGAACACCTTTCTGAACATTTATTCAAACGCAACTCTCACAATCGCTGCTATAAGAGTCAAAGCCTGAGCTGAGACTGTGGCTCGGAGGCAGAGCACAGCATGTGTGAGGACTCAATCTCCAGTACTGGGAAAAGTCAAACCATGAGAGGAAACGAGGCTGGATAGAGAAGACAACTACTTAACAGCACTTAACTGTGAAAACGTCAAAGGAAAGAACTCACCTCTTTAACTTTGGCCGCTGGGAAGTTGACTGTGCCGTGGGATTTGAAAAGCCTGTGCTTTTACTCGCTGGGATGGCATTTTTTTTGGCATTAACAACCTGAGTAGAGTGGGCACTGAAAGACTTGGGGCTCTTCCTCTTCACTTTCCGCTCTTCCATTGTTTTAAGTTCTTCGACGCATCAACACCAGCTCTGTATGACCTAAATATCGAAAGATAGTGGTTACAGCTATATGCTATAATATGTAAAGAGAGTCAAAGGCACATTCCATAGACCGAAAGAACAAGAATTTCAAGGCATTAAAGTTAGGACAAGGAATCCCTTATGTCTAATTTATTTTGCTAATGCACACAAACGTTGTTCAAATCTTAGATGATCTTTTAATAAAAAATCCAGAACCAGATATCAGGGTGAAGGCTGAAAGATCAGAGAAGCAGAACAGCCAGCCACTAGTTCTTACCTCTATGAAATCCTCAGCCTAAAGAGAGTGAGTTCCTGTTTCCTCACGCTTTATATACCTTTCTGTGTCCTGCCATATTACTTCCTGGGATTAAAGATGTGTGTGTTTCCCAAGCAAAGGTATGAGATCTCAAGTGCTGGGGTTAAAGGTGTATGCCACCACTACCTGGCTCTGTTTTCTCTCCTATACTGGATCAATCTCATGTAGCCCAGTGTGGCCTTGAACTCACAGAGATCCAGAGGAATCTCTGCCTCCTGAATGATAGGACTAAAGGTGTGTGCCACCTCTATGTCTAATCAGTGGCAGGCAATTTTATTAGGGTACACAATATATCACCATACATAAAGGTCTTTGTCTAATAAATTTTTTAGAATTTTCTCTATTCACATATCTTCTAAGTATCTACTGATTCTTCTCCACAAGCCAGAACTGTCATCAGTCCTGGGGAGACAATAATGAATAAGACAAAGCCCTTAATCTCAAGAAGCCACCATTATATAAGGTGGCCAATATAAATAAATCACCCATGCAAAACCCCAGTCTCCTTGGAGCTTTAGCTGGATTCTCAATCTCCCTTTCAAACCAGACTCAAACAGGTGTAGATCAGGGCATCAATAATCTAAACTGCAACTTGAGGCTTATGTAATGTATATTATATTGGTATGATTTGCACCACCATACTCAGATCTTATCTATCTGACTATCTATCTATCTATCTATCTATCTATCTATCTATCTATCTATCTATCTATCTATCTATATTTTAAATAAGGTGTTAGGGGCTGGAGAGATGGCTCAGTGGTTAAGAGCACTGATTGCTCTTCCAGAGGACCCTGGTTCAATTCCCAGCACCCACATGGCAGCTCACGACTGTCTGTAACTCCAATTCCTGGGACCCATCACCCATGGCTAAAACACCAATGTATGTGAAATAAAAATAAATAAATAATTTAAAAATATAAGGTGTTACTATGTAGCTCTGACTGGCCTGGATCTTGCTCTGTTGACTAGGCTTACCGGGAACTCCCAGAAATCCATCTGCCTCTGTGGCCTGCATGCTGGGATTAAAGGCATCAAAAGTGTATACCACCTCACCTTTTCTTTTTGAGAAAAAGTTTTGTTCTATGTCCCTGGCTGGCTGAGAAATGACTATGTAAACCATGCTGGCCTCCGGCTTGTGATGATGCTCCTGCCTCTGTTCCTGAGTGCTAGGATGATGGGCATATGCCACAAGACTGGCTGTTTTGATCTGGATTTTTCTTAATTCAATTATTAATGGATCACAAAGTCATCAGAAATATGAATATGTATTCATTCTTTTTAAATTGTCAATTGCATTATGAATGTCAGGTCTTTAAAAAAAAAAAAATACCGTGGGGCTTGAGAGCCAGCTCAGCAGTTAGGAGCCACTGGATGCTCTTCCAGAGGACTCATTTGATTTCCAAAACCAAGAAGGTGGCTTACAACAATCTGTAATTTCAGTTCCAAGGTATCCAATGCCCTCTTCTGGCCTCCAGGGGCACTGTATGCACGCAGGTAAAACCATCATACACAGCCAATAAAATTTAAAACTTAAAAGAGTGTTGAATTTAATCCTGCCACGACTATTTTAAAAGACTGAAACCGTCACTCCTAAAAGCATTACTTGTGAATTGTAAAGACAACGTTGAGGTTTTGTTTTTTGTTTTTGTTTTGCTATCTAATGGACAGCTTTCTTGAGAAAGGGTCCAACGTCCAGTCTCTAATCAATCTCAGGTACCAATCGTGAATCCCCTTGAATCAGTTGGGACTTGTTTAACACGCAATGCAGATTAAAGACGACCGAGCAGGTCTCCACGAGGTGAGGATCTATCTGTATAATTCATGATACACATAAACACACTAACCTTCCAATCTAAGAGTGCTAAATAATACACATTTGGTGACATAAGAAAAAAAATAAAAACAGTTAACACGAAAAGCATCGAAAATAAACCAATGGTCTCCGAGGGAACAAGCTTGCGAATTACTACTGATTTCTGGGGGGATAACATCTGTCACGAGACCTGAAATCCTTTTGGTAGGGCAAGCACCAGGGACCGACCGTTCCAGAGAGGGCGAACTGCTCACGGCTGAATGTGAGGCCTTGCTTCTAACCAGGACCACCGAGGTGGAGGGGCCTCTGGACTGCACTTCATCTCCCTTCTCCCTTCCGCAACCCATCAGCGATGATGACCCATCAATACCCAGCAGTGACCGGAGCGGGTGCTGAGGGGCCCGAAGGAGCAGGCTGCGGGGTCCCCCTCACCCCACTACGTACCGGAGGAAGAGGCTGCGATCCCCCTTCCTTCACGGGGAAAGGGTCCGAGAGCGTCCAAAGCCTCAGCTACAGCTGCAGCAAGAGCCCGGGATCGCCAAGCCGGGTCAGCAGCCTGGGACCGGCGCCTCCACAGCGCCCTTTGTTTACGGAAGTGACGTCACCGGGGCGGGGCCCTCTGTGAGGCGGAAGCCACGCCCCCTCCCCGGTCCCTTAGCGTCGCTGGCATTGCTTAGCCTGGGGGCTCAGGGCTCCCGGGTGGCTCCGGCGGCCGCGGGAAAGAGAAGTCGTTTGTAGCCACTCCAGATTCTGCCTCTGCGCCGGCCTCGGGGGAGCTGGCTGTCTAGGGTCCTCACCGGAAGCGGGTAGCCGCCGCGGTGAACGACCGCCCCCACGCACTACAGTTCCCAGCATGCCGTTCGAGCACACCTGAAGGCGGAGCCTATGGGATCCTCCTCTCCGATTGGCTACCTCGAGTGTGGCTTGAAAAGCCGCCGACAGTTGTGCGGCTGAGCCTCCGGAGTGGGGTTCTGTAAATAGCTCGTGTCCAAGCGTTGCAGGTCTTTGGCGGGGGGGTGGGGGGGGTGGGGCGTTGGGTTTGTTTGTGTGCCTGTCTGTCTTAGTTTTCTTTTCGACAGGGTCTCCTCCGGCCCAGGCGGCCCTAGAACTGACTGTGTTGCTGGGATGGCCTTGAACTCGTGATCTTCCGGCCCGCGCTTCTTACCTGCTGGGATTGGGGATACGTGACCCCCGACTGGGTTTATCTGACTACAGTCCCTTGAGATGGGAGTCATAATCCCCGTTTTAGAACCGAATCAGAGATTCAGAAAGGCTAATCAATCATGTTCTCTGACTCTCCACTTCACCCCTGGGAGAAAGAATTGAGGGTTGAGAGGGAAGGCTCCTGGAAGGTCTCTAGCCAGCCAGAGCATGGCAAACATGGCTCTGGCAGACCTTACCCTTCTCCCCATGCCCTCTGTCCTGCTAAAAAACAATTAGATTACATTCCTAAAGCTAGTCACCAAGGTTTATTTTCTTTTTGGGGGCCATTTCCTCCTCCTGAGGCTGACTACCAAGGTCCAGCTACCAAAGTATTGAAGTCCAGTAATCTAAAGCCCCCCTTTGGCTCACCTAATTAACATGGCAGTTATGTAGCATCACATCTGGCCAAGCTTCCCTTTGAAACTGCAGCGTCTGAAGGAGTTGGCCCGTCCTATCGCTGACCAATGGCATCACCAGTGTCCAGGCAGGCACTCTTTCCTCAAGGAGCATCTGGGACTTTGCTATACCTGCCTTCCTCCAAGAGGTCTGATGAAGGATCTGGTTACCCAGCCTTTGGAAATTCTGATGTGTTCTTGTTTAAAAAAACACAAAACCAACCAATAAAACTTATTATTTGGGGATTATGGTTCGACAAAAGTTAATGTTTTTTTTGTTTGTTTGTTTGTTTGTTTGTTTTATTTATCATGTATACAGCGAGTGTTCAGCCTGCAGGCCAGAAGAGGGCACCAGATCTCATTGTAGATAGTTGTGAGCCACCATGTGGTTGCTAGGAATTGAACTCAGGACCTCTGGAAGAACAGCCAGTATTCTTAACCTCTGAGCCATCTCTCCAGCCCCAAAAGTTAATGTTTTAACTGAGTCTTTGCATTTCTAGGCTACCCTTCTCTTTTTTTTCATTTTTCTTTATTAGAAAATTTTCTGTTCACTCCACATACTACCCACAGATCCCACCTCCTCCCCCCTCCCCCCTCCCCTTCAGCCCTCTCTCACAAGCCAGCCCGCATCCCCACATCCCTCAAATCAAGGTCTCCCATGGGGAGTCAGCAGAGCCCAGCACACCGAACCTAGGCAGGTCCAAGTCCCTTCCCACTGCACCAAGGCTGTGAAGGTCGTCATACCACAGGCACCAGATTCCCAAAAGCCTGCCCATGCACCAGGGACAAATCTCAATCCCCCTGCCTGGGTGCCCCCCAAACAGTTCGAGCCAAACAACTGTCTTCCATATCCAGAGGGCCTAGTCCACTCCCATGGGGCTCCACAGCCACCAGTCCACAGTTCATGGACTTCCACTAGTGTGGCCGGTCATCTCTGCATGTCCTCCCATCATGATCTTGATGTCCTCCACCTGCAGTATCTCTCCTCTCTCTCATCAATTGGATTCCCAAAGTTCAGCCTGGTGCATGGCTGTGGATCTCTGTATCTGCCTCCATCTGTTACTGGACAAAGGCTCTATGATGACAGCTAGGTTATTCGCTAGACCGGTCACCAGAGTAGACCAGTCCAGGCACCCTCTGGACCACTGCCAGCAGACCAAAGTGGGGTCATCCTTGTGGATTCCTGAGAGCCTCCCCAGCATCCTGCCTCTTCCTATTTCCATGATGTCCTCATCTCTCATGGTAACTTCCTCCCTGCCCTCCCACTCTGTCCCTGTTCCAGCTCGACCCTCTCATTTCCCTATGTTCTCATCCCCCACTCCTCACCCTCTTCCACCCCCCACACCCAGTCCACTCATGTAGATCTCATCCACGTCTCCTTCACTGGGTCATCCATGTATCCCTCCTAGGGTCTTTCCCTGTTAGCTAGCCTCTCTGGAGCTGTGGGTTGCAGTCTGGCCATCCCTTCCCTCACATCTAGTATCCACTTATGAGTGAGTACATACTATGTTTGTCCTTCTGAGTCTGGGTTACATCACTCAGAATGATATTTTCTAGTTCCATCCATTTGCCCGCAAATTTCATGATATTGTTTTTTACTGCTGAGTGTATATTACTCCATTGTGTATATGTGCCACATTTTCTTTATCCATTCTTCAGTTGAGGGGCATCTAGGTTGTTTCCAGGTTCTTGCTATTACGAATAATGCTGATATGAACATAGTTGAGCATGTGTCCTTGTGGTAAGATTGAGCAAGAGTGGTATAGTTGGGTCTTGAGAAAGACTTATTCCCAATTTTCTGAGAAACCCCCATACTGATTTTCAGAGTGGCTGCACAAGTTTGCACTCCCACCAACAGTGGAGGAGTGTTCCCCTCGCTCCACATCCTCTCCAGCATAAGCTGTCTTTACTACACTTCTCTTTTAAAGCTAAAGTAGTTAACTAGATCAGGAGCTAGGTGTCAGAAAGATCTGAAGATGTTTTCATCCTCTGAGAATCTTCTCCAAGCTCCTGTAATCAGAACAGCTTTAAAAGAAGGCTGATCCAAAAAAGAAAGCAGGCCATGGGGTCAGGAGTTGGCTACACTGTATCACAACCTTTGGTTTTTCTCTCCTTAGCTAGACTTTCAGAGTTTACTATGGAGTACTACCAGGGTGCTAAAAACACTTGTAGGAATGTCTTACAAAGTAGCAAAAAGTAAAAGGGAGAATGTCTTACTTTTCTACAGCTGTGAAGAGATCCCATGACCACAGCCTATAAGCCAATGCTAATAAACCATGCCTGTGTGTGGCGTGCGTGCACACACACGTAAATGATATATAATATACGTGATGAGGGTGTGTGTGTGTGTGTTTATTCTCTCAGTTGTTCCTTTAGAGAATGCTGACTAACATTAAGGGTGATGGAGGCCGGGATAGGAAAGGAAGAAAGCAAGTAAAAGAAGAGCCCTCTTTATACCTGTTAGGTAGGGAGGAAGTTTTAAAATCCAAACTGCTGCCAGGCTTCAACTTTGAGTTGCTTAATTTCTGTCACCAAGTGTCTGGTTACTATTTATTTGTCAGCTTGACACAAGCCAGGGTCATCTGGAAGCGGGAACCTCAATGGAGAAAATGCCTCCATCACATTGGCCTGTAGGCAAGTCTGTGAGGCCTTTTAATAATTGAGGTGGGAGGGTCCAGTAAGCCCACTGTGGGTGGTGCCATCCCTAGACAGGTGGTCCACAGCTGTAAAAAACAAAACAAAACAAAACAAAAAAAAAAAAAAAAAAAAAACCAGGGTGAGATAGAGGGAAAGTCAATAAGCATCATTCCTCTATGGCAGTCATTCTCAACCTTCCTATTGTTGAGACCCTTTTATATATTTCCTCATGTTTTGGTGACTCCTAATGACAATAAAATAAAATTATTTTCATTGCTACTTTTTTGTTTTGTTTTGTTTTTTGTTTTTTGTTTTTCAAGACAGGGTTTCTCAATGTAGTTTTGGTGTCTGTCCTGGAACTCACTCTGTAGCCCAGGCTGGCCTCAAACTCACAGAGATCCGCCTGGCTCTGCCTCCCAAGTGCTGGGATTAAAGGTGTGTACCACCACCTGACTTCATTGCTACTTTATAATGAGAGGGCCAGGGAGCCACACCATAGCCATAACAGGTTTCTGATAGCCCTGCCAGGGACCAGGCTTTAGTTTCAGTTTAATGGAACTGGCTGGAGCTGAGCAAGCAGTTCTCAGGAAGATCACAACTCAGGGGCAACCAATCAGCAGGGCCCTTCCCCTCCAGCCTTCTGCTAGCTAAAGATAGCTTTCCCTACCCTGTAGCTGGAAGGTCCCTAACCATTGGAGCCTCCCACCAATCAGCCCCTAGACTAATCTTCCCTCCACCAGTCTTCATTAGATTAATCCCTCCTCCCTGGAATTCCCCTAATGCCACTTAAAAGGAACTTGCGACCTCCCTTTGGGGTCGCTATTTGCCACTCCAACGTGTTGGAAATAATAAATGCTCATGCTGATTGCATATGTGATTGATGGTCTTTCTTGGGGGCTTCTTTTGGACCTTAACACGTAACTGTAATTTAGCTACTGTTATGAATTGTAACGTATTTATCTTTGTTGTCGATGGTCTTAGGCAACCCCTGTGAAAGGTGGTTCAATCTCCAAAAGGGTAGACCGGCTACTCTGTGGCCTCTGTTTCAGTTCCTGCCACCAGGTTCCTGCCTTGCGTTCCTGCCCTGGCTTCTCTCAGCGATGGACTGTGACTGGCATGTGTAAGATCAATAAACCCATTTCTCTCTAAGTTGCTTTTGGCTCATGTTTTATTACAGCAAACTAGCACAGTGGGGGAAACAGAGGCCAGAGGAAATAGATGGCCTGCTTCCTGTGCACTCGTAATGAATAATGACAACTAGATATGCACAGGTGTGCAGGAGGCTGAGTTGGAAGATACAAAATTGAGAAAGTTGACTTGCTCTGTGTGGTAAAGAGGAAAGAATCACTGGGGTAGAGTTAAGGGCATCTCAATGTTGGTGCTAGAGGCAGCCGAAAAGGGAGGCAGGAGAAAGGGCAGTTGAAATGGTAGGAAGAACTGTGAAAAGAACAGTGGTTGACCAGTTGAAGAGATGCATGCCTTTAATCCCAGGACTCAGGAGGCAGGATAGGCAGGTTTCTGTGTGGCTGAGGGCAGCATGGTCTACATAGCGAGTCCAGGACAGGCAAGGCTACATTAAAAAGATCCTGTCTCAAAAATCAAAAAGTGATGGTTGTTAACATACAGAATCTCAGCATTATAGTCCAGCCTGGGCTGGTTAGCCTGCACTATAGAGTCAAATGCTGTCTCTAAAACAAAACTATCTAAAAAGGAGAATGATGGCATCTGTTAATTGACCTGTAATTGTTTACTATTGCCATATATATGTGTGCACACAACCATACTTCCACAGAGAAAGAGTAATCCCTCATGGGCTCAAATCTCCCTGGAATAATTACTACAAGAGTCCAGGGAAGAGAGCTGGGTTCAACATCTTCAGGGAGGTCTGAGGAGAACAATGGCAGAATGTATGTCAATTAGCTGGTCTATACGCTGAATAATTTCATGAGAGACAGGTTCTCCTTAGTGAATGGGAAAATATAAACTACCGCATACTCTGTTGGCCTAGAAATAAGAAACACACTTTCTACCATATAAAGATAGGTTTCATGCTGGGCGGTGGTGGTGCATGCCTTAAATCCCAGCACTTGGAAGGAAGAGGCAGTAGATCTCAGTGAGATTGAGGCCAGCCTAGTCAACAAAATGAGTTCCAGGGCAGCCAGGGCTATACAGAGAAACCCTGTCTTCAAACAAACAAACAAACAAACTTCCTTCCTTCCTTCCTTCCTTCCTTCCTTCCTTCCTTCCTTCCTTCCTTCCTTCCTTCCTTCCTTCCTTCCTTCCTTCCTTAGATAGTCTTGCTATGTAACCTTGACTGTTCATTGTGTAGAACAGGGTGGCCTTCAATTTGAAGTGGTACTCCTGCCTCTGCCTCTTGAGTTCTGGGATTACAAGTGTGCCAGCATGTCCATCCTGGGAGTTTAGATTCAACTGCACTTTTGCATCCTTAGTTTCTGGGGTCCCATGTGCCTGTCTTTCTCATTAGACTGCCGCTAGTTCCTCAAGGAAGGATCTGGGCCTTACTGTCTTTATATTCACCAAGGCCAGCATAGTGTCTGCAGCACAGTAAATATGAACCAGTTAGGGGAATTAAACTCTCAAGGCAGTAA